GGGGGGAAATCAGTTTAGTTATCGCGCACGGTGGATCTGCAACAAGTTCCCTACAGAGGCGAGGTGTTTAAACTTGCGCTGAAGGTAGAATCGTTTGCTCCAAAATAGAGAGGTTCGAGTTCCGTGTTTATGAAGGTGAGGGTTTTGCCCAAATGTATTAATGAGCTTTTGATCAAGAGTAGAATAATGAATTCCTTGCTCTGTAACAGTAAATGCGTCCAGTTTGTGGGGTCAGGAGCACCGAGCTGACAGTTCTTCATTTAAACTTACTTTAAGGGGGAGTCTCTGTTTCCTGATAACATAAACAACACTTCAGGCAGGAGCTGGGGTCCGTGGTGATCTTGCACTGACACAGAGACTGTGATTTCAAAGGTTTCAGAATATTAACACGTCGCATCTCTCTGTACAGCATTCGTGATTTACGATCGTTTCTGTTAAGCCGAGCAATTGTGTATATTGAAACACAAGACGCTAGAAAAACAAGCCCTGGGATGAAGCTGCAATTTTAAGAGTTGCTTGCTGGCTTTCCCGCTAGGGAAGGAAGAGCAGCGGGAATGAAGTGCATACTTGTAGGCTTTATTATCGTAAATTACTTTTGTGTGTAGAAAAATATTATGCAACCTTTAGAGTTGCACGCTTGATCACTAGCAGCAGCTTAACGTTGTCTGGCTTTTGTACTGCCCTTTCGGCGGATTAGAAAAATTCTGGCCGGGTTGCAGCCCTGGGGTAAAGACGTCTCTTTCGAAGGAGCTCACGTAAAAGGTGACTTTGGGTGAAGTTTCTCCTAGTTCTGCCAACGGGGCGAGAGTTGCTGTTGCTTCCTCTTAGTGCCTTGCTTGCTTGGCCAGACCCATCCTTGGAGGAGCACGTTCCCTTCAGCTCCCTGCTCGCCGGGCTGGTGGTGGAAGTCCCACCCTGCGGTGGCCCCGGTCGCCGCGCTGGGCGAAGAGCGTGTGGAACAAACTGGAAGCGGAGGCGAAGCTCGTTCTTGCAGGGCACGTCTAGCTCTGCGGAACGCGATGTCTTGGGCTTGGCGCTTGATTAAAGTGAAGAGGTTATGGCCGTGTCTGCTGTAGTAATGTGTTTTCCTGGTCAGCATAGAAGCAAAATCGTTTTGGAATGAATGATGGTGGGAATTTGAATGATAGCAAAAACATCCTCTCATTTGAACTTTTTTTTTTTTTTTTTGGTAGCTAGGAAATACTTTTATTCTTTAAGCAAAAAGTTTTAGGGACTATGCAGTGAAGGTATTTACCTTGATCTGGGTGCAGGTGCATTATAAATCTTCCTTAATTTGTTATTGAGACTTAGTGATCATTAGTAAAAGCAATGAATGGGGTAAAATAAGAAATTTTTTTTCTTTTAAAGTGTTAAACTGGATACTTTGGTTAATGCAATATTGAAATGCATAGTACACAACAGGAAGCCAGCTGTTTTAATATTGATAGGAATTTGGTGTTTGTAACAGTCTGTGGCATGTTGAACTAGCTGTTAGTCTTTTAAATGCATTCTGTTTCAGACCTGGTTCGTTCCTGTTGAAGTACATTACATCTGAATAAAGTTGCCACATTTGACAAAGGTGTCACCTGTAGCACTTTGTTTACTTTCAAGCTTAGCTGCAGCATTAGCTTCTTTACAGTCTCTCAGTAATAGGCCTTATTCTTAATCTCTGGAAACAGTTTTAGGAGTGAGAGGACACGTCATACTGAGTCCCTTTTCTATCATTAAAAAAAAAAAACAGCATCCCCCACTCCCCCCAAAAAAACCCAAAACAAAAAACAAAACAAAAAACCCCCCCAAAACAAAACACTAAACCCCCACAATTTTGATGGGGAAGATTTGAGGGGTGGATATTTGTCTGCTTTAGGTTAGCACTGGGAGTTGGCAAGTGCTTGTTACCAAATACTGGGGGGGCAGCGGGGGAGAGTTTGTTGCTGTTAGGAGCGTTCATGTCACTGAGCCACCACTGTGCATGTCCGAATTGCACTGGTTCTCTGAACTGGTCAGATGTCTTGGGGATGGGAAGGATATCAGCAATTCCCATTTGATGCTTCATTTGTACAGCTGTTGAGAAACTCTGGATAGCTCTGTTTTTAATTGATTCATTTTCAGGTTAGGAAGTATATTTCATGGTTATAGCGGTAACATGCATAAGACACATCAAAGATATTGCTGAACTTAAATCACATTCCTTTTCTGCTTTTCTTCTCTTACACAGTTTGTTATCTTTCTAAATCTGCTTTATTACATATATCTTTCTTTCTCTAAATCTTACTCTGGTTTTATTCACGTTCTCCCTCATGCTTGCTTTCTAGCAACCCTCCCGGTGTGCAAAGAGCAAATGCATCTTGAAGGTGTGATTTTTATTTTCATGTATGGGTGATTTTTTGTATTTATATATGCATAAGACAGTTGCCAAATTCTAGTGTTTTCTTGCTTTGTTTTGAGAAGTTGAATTTGAGAGTACTGATTAACTTTAAATATGAAACTGGTTTTCATATTTTCAGGAAACGTTTGAGTCTTGAGTAGAAGGCTTCTGTGCAGAACTAGGAATTGGCTATGAATTTAATGTATTTTGGTAATTAGAGGGGAGAAAAAGAGTAACGTCTTCCATCCAGAACAATTATAAATCACTTGCAGATGGTTT